CAAACTGGTCTGCTATCTTCTGGCTTCTGCTTGGCCAAATGCATTTGAGACCTGAATCAAATTTTCTTTCAATCGCGGGCAGCACAGAAAGATTTTATTACATTTTTCAAAACTCCCCCTTTCTCTGCTTGTATTCATTTTTTCCCATTCATATCATGCTCTTGTTCCAGAGAACGTTAAGCCAAGATCCAACAAAATCATCTCAGAAATCAAGCAAAACATTTTTATTACGTAAATTTAAAAACCAATTTGTTACTGCCTGGAAAACACCTACCAGGAGGAACATTCAGTAGACGCATTGCTAAAATTCTTCCACCCTGAATGTAATTTCTCCTAATTGGTACTTTGTGGATGAACTCGTTAGATGTAATACAAGGATCCGTCATTCAAGGGATGTATTTCTGTCCATGTAGAAGAGCCGTGGGGTTGAGCCTGGATGGCCTCATGCTTGGCTGTAGAAAGGGCTTTATGCTCTGGTGGGCATGAGAATGACCTTTCCGATGTAGAGGGTGAAAGGGGGCTGATGGAGGACATGGCTGTGTACTGGAGTGATGGAGAGGCGAGACCAAAGGACAAGAAACTGTTTGGAAACAAATCATTAGTGAAGGTCGCAGTGTCCTAAAAGATGCATTTCATTCTTTCGTGTTGAGGCTGCAATACCTACAGAGAACAAAAGAGAATGTGAGGGCTGCTGGGCTGAGGGAGGCAAGGAAGGTGTGATTCCTCTCCATAAATTATCCCTGGACCCTTCCTTATGAATGTGGAAAGTGTGCTTTAGTTGAACTGAATGTGAACCAGGAATCCTTCCACACATTGTCTTTCTTGGGAGTCAGACTGGTTTCCAAACGAAGATAGAAGTGATTCGTGTTCTCTGAGGGGACAACCGCCTTGCCTCATGAAACACCTCATCTCCATCATGAAAACCATAGCTCTAGGACGGAGCATACACTTTACATGCAAAAGCTCCCAGATAATCCCTAGCAGATGGAGGGGCTAGGGAGGACTTCCTGTGACCCATGAAAGCTGCCGCCATCTTGGCCTGACCCAGAGCAATTTCCTGGGATTATCAGATGCTTTCCCTGTGAATGGAAACACCAGGTCTCCTCCTCTTCCCCAGTGGGCGAAATTGCTGCCGCTTTGTGGTTCACAGGCTGGATTGGGGCAATTTCTTTTCCCCTTTTGTTCTCTCCTCCTGCTAGTGAGAGGATGAACAGAGGGCACTGGCCATCCAAAATGGTGGCGGGGAGGAAGGGGCAGGGTCTTTTCCTCTGTGCTAACATTAAAGGTTTGTTAATATTAGGATGTAACTTGACAGGCCATCACCTAATTTGTTAATTTCCTTTGCTCTCATCAGAAGTTTTCCTCCATCAGCTTTTGCCCTTTTGGTCCCCTGTGGTTATAGACCCCTTTCTGCTTATGAAAGCTGTCTTTGTATTTAACAATAGCAAGCTCTGCTTCCCTATCCTTCATCAGTATTGCCTGTTTGTTTAGAGCCTGAAACTGAACACAGGACTCGAGCCTGAGGCCTACCCAGCATGGAGTATATCGTAACAACTGTCGTATAATATTTCTTTCCCCCTCAGCTGGAGTCTGAGTTGACTGCCCGGCATGAGCTGCAGGTCGAAATAAAGAAGAAGGAGAGTGACTTTGAGCAAAAAATCCAAGATGTGCTTCAAGAGAAGGAAGTGCTGGAAACAGAGAAACAGCAGATCGTGTCGGAGAAGCAAAGTCTGGAAAGTGCTTCTTCAGCGCTGAATGATGAGGTCATAATTGTGCTGGGCTGTGGGATGAGGATGGGAGGTCGTATAAACTCAATCTGAGCCTGTTTTGGCCCAAGTTTTTGTCCACAGGAGATTTTAAGGAGCTGATCTGCAGTACTCCTGGGTTCCCTAGATCTGTGTATTGAGAAAATGTGGAATATTAAAGAGACTGGCTGTGTCAAAGATCTCTTTACCAGTGATTTCTGTATTTAAGCACCACAAATTTCTCAGGTGGAGGAAAAAATGTTGCTGTTAAGCAAAGGACTGGGGAGTGAGATGACGGATAGCAATCGAGTGATAGTGGACAAGCGTAATTCAGTTGTGGAAACTGAATTACAATATGATCAAATGGACAAACTCACTGGTAAAACTAAGGGAATGCCAGATTAGGGGAAGAAAGAGAGGATAGCTTGTTTGTAGCAGGCAGAAGGAAGGAGCAGTGTGGGGTGGGATTTTGTAGCCTGCTGGACCCACTCATAACGAGTGCTGTATTCGAGGTGCATTGCAACGAGCAGGAACTAGATGGGGAAGACCTAGAGCAGTGATGGCGAACCTTTTAGAGACCGAGTGCTCAAACTGCGACCCAGAACCCACTTATTTATCGCAAAGTGCCAACACGGCAATTTAACCTGAATACTGAGGTTTTACTTGAGAAAAAACAACTCATACATTAAGATGATCCAAACAAAGTAAGGAAAGCAATCCCAAATGCTTTCATTTACTTAAAATTATTTGGCAGAGAATTCGACACTTTAATGATGGTCTGGGCCTGGCTGGGGAGATGGCACGCGTGCCCACAGAGAGGGCTCTGAGTGCCACCTCTGGCACCCGTGCCGTAGGTTCGCCACCACTGACCTAGAGAGACTGACATATGGCAGATGGATGACGCAACGGTAAAGCTCCAACATCAACTCCCCAGGATTAACAGTCTCCATTGGAATTTGGCGTCAGCTTGAGTTTAAAAACACACACCCTAAAACTCAATCCTAGACAAAAGAAAAATGGTGGGAAAGGTGAACGAGTGGTCTCGAGTAATTTATAGAAGGTGCAGGTTAAAAATCAGATTGCATATTCCGCTCTAAGAAAAGCTGTGGTAGCAAATTGGGACAATCTGGAGAAAACCTTTAAAAAGCAGAAGGTTTCTGTGTAGGATGAAAAACATAAGAACATAAGAGACGCCAATGTTGGATCAGGCCAATGGCCCATCCAGTCCACCACTCTGTGTCACACAGTGGCCAGAAATACCAAGTACCATCAGGAGATCCACCGGTGGGGCCAGGACATTAGAAGCCCTCCCACTGTTGACCGACCCAAGCACCAAGAAGACAGAGCATCACTTGCCCCAGAGCCCCTATCTATACCTTGTGGCTAATGGCCACTGATGGACCTCTGCTCCATATGCTTATCTATTTCCCTTTTGAAGCCCTCCATGCTTGTAGCCGCCACCACTTCCTGTGGCAGTAGGAAGAAAAAGTGTTGATTGACAAAAAAGAGGAGGAGGAGTGGCAGCCCCCAGGATCAGAAAGGGCAGTTGGAACATACAGAACTAGATCATGTGGAAATCAGTGCCAAAGGTGGCTCCATCCAAAGTTTATTTTTTAACATTTATTTGAGAAAAGCAAAACAAACACCACACAGTTAGTACAAATATGCAGGCATTTCACAGCATGATTCCAGCAGAACTTGCTTACAAAATCTGATTTACCCAGGACATTTAATACACTCACTAATCTGGGGATCTCAATCCATGTAACCTGTCCTCCCCTCTTCACTTTCAAATATGTTCACCATGTACTACAGCAGAGGGGAAAAACAACTCTTGACGTAACTATTAAAACAGTTATAGCAAATACATTTAAAAAAACAATAGAAACTAACATCTTAATAGTGCCAAAGTTCATGACCTCATTGATTATTTCCATATTTTGCTTTTCTCTGTGTTCCTCCAGCATTAGTACAATGCATCCTATTTTAGACATAGACCAAATGCCATCTATGCACCATCTTGCATCTCCTCCAAAAATATGGTTGAAGATGCTTTCCCCCCCCCCCAGGGAAAGCCGAATGAACTACAGTAAAAAAAGTATTTACATTATAATTTCCCTATATTTTGAGACAATTAAATTTCTGTCCTTGCTTCCTTGTGGCTCTCTTTTACCACGTTGCAAAGAATCTGTTGTTCCAAATCATTACAAATAATGCCCATTTTCCAATAAACATTTCCCCTTGTGAATTCAGCCATAGTCTCCCATAATACACTAACTTTGACATTGCTGCAAAATCCCCTATCCATTTATTTTAGTTCTGTTAAAGGAGGAGTGCTGTTTTCCCGTGTGAGGCAATGCAGGCTTGACCTTTAATTATCAAACCCATAATAAGTTCTACTCATCAAACCCAAAGGTGTTACCCTAACAAAAGTACTTTTGGATCTGACTGTGAATTGTTTCCCATCATATCACTTCTTTACAAAATTGTTTAGGAGGGCTAATATGCAACATTAGAAGATAACCAGATTTCTAGTATAAACTTGAGAGTCCACTTTTTAGGATATATATATATACACACACACACAGAGAGAGAATTCATAAAGTCATAAATTCTGATATCCAAAAGACAGCCATGACCCGTTTGTAACAAGCATCTGTTCTGCCGGGCAGGGCCAGGAGGTTCAGACAAAGGATAGTCTCACAGTAAGCTGAGTCATGTTGTGCCTGAATATAAATAAAATGGATATAAAGTTTCTCAAGTATTGTCTGTGCTGAGAAGAGTCAAGTAAATAACAAAACCATCCAAAGATGGTCAGATGCTAGATGGGCTGTTATTTCTTTTGCTAGTTGCGGGATTGGGTTGCCCGCTATAACCTTTACTTGTTCTACCTCTCTCTCTCTCTTTTTTTTTTGGTTTAGGTGGCTATACTTAAAAAGGAACTTGAAGATGCTCGGAAGAAAATGGAGCATATGGCCTCTTCTGGTGTCCCGGCACAGCCTCCACCCAGTGGGGTGGCCATTCCTCCTCCCCCTCCCCTTCCCGGTTCAGCTGCAGTGCCACCACCACCACCTTTGCCAGGAATGGCAGTAGTGCCACCACCTCCGCCACCTCTTCCTGGTGCAGTTGGAGTGCCGGCTCCTCCGCCACCACCGCCGCCTCTTCCTGGTGCAGTTGGAGTGCCAGCTCCTCCGCCACCACCTCCGCCTCTTCCTGGTGCATTTGGAGTGCCTCCACCACCACCGCCACCGCCGCCTCTTCCTGGCGGGCCTGGAATGCCACCGCCACCACCGCCTCTTCCTGGCGGGCCTGGAATGCCACCGCCACCACCGCCTCTTCCTGGTGGGCCTGGAATGCCTCCACCGCCACCGCCTCCTCCTGGTGGGCCTGGAATGCCACCTCCTCCCTTGCCTCCTGGCTTTGGAGCTATGACACCTGCAGCTCCAGTTCTTCCATTTGGATTGGCTCCAAAGAGGGTTTATAAACCAGAAGTTCAGCTGCGAAGAACCAATTGGTCCAAGGTGGCATTCTGCTAGTTGCTTACTCGATATTCCTGTCCCACTTGGGGTTGCTCTTCCCTCTTCTCCGTTGTTAGGCTTGAAAGGATTTCCCTCCTTCAGCTTATCCGTGCGGTGTCAGTTTGGTGTAGTGGTTAAGAGCATGGACTCTAATCTGGGAGAACCAGGTTTGATTCCCCACTCCTTCACATAGCAGTCGCTGGTGTGACCTTGGGCCAGTTACAAGTCCTTTGAGAGCTGTTCTCTCATAAGCAGTTCTCACCCCCCAGGGTGTCTGGTGTGGGGGGGGGGAGGAGATTGTGAGCCGCTCTGAGACTTCTTTGGGTAGTGAAGGGCGGGGTATAAATCCAATCTCCTCCTCTTCTCTTATCTGTTGTCTAGCATTAGGTGGGTGGTTGTGGTGAGGCAGGTCGACTAAGCTTCACCTGATGTTGTGGCTTTAAGAGGGTAGAGAAGATTCACTCTCGTCCTTATCGTTTGCCCCATCACATTAACTGTACCAGAATGGTGAAAAGCAAAAAACACTGTTAAGAAATAGGAAGTACCTAATATTTATTTATTTTATTAGACTTTTAGCCTGCCCTCCCCTGCACAGCAAGGCTGCGGGTGGGTAACAACAAATTTAAAAACAATGTCATAAGTTAATTATTATTTTTTTTAAAAAAAATTTAACATAACAATACAAAAAGTCGAAAGTAATTCCTAAAAAACATAGATGCCAGAGAAGTAGCGTTTTTAGCCTGTTACTGCAAGAAGCAAAGACTTCTGTGACGGCTTAATAGTTAAATTCTTTGTGAACTAGAATCCGTGTCATCAGATTCATTAAGGTGTCTTCTTAGTAGGTATACACATGCATGTACATGCATTCATTAGTACAGCAAAATAAAATGTATTTTATGCCATTTTGGCCCTGCTGAGAGGCAGCATTAAATATGCAGAACTCCGATATGCCCAAGAAAAGAGTAGTGACTCATGCCTGATATCTGTGATTAGTGAATACTCTCTTTCTACCAGTGCCATGTCCGGGGTGGGGGTGGGGGAGGCAGAATCAAATTTACTGGGAAACTAGTCCTTGCCAACTGGAAGTGCAACTGCCATAGTAGGTACTTCTGGTCTGTGAAAAGTGTCTGCCCCAACAAATCCTTTTCCATTTAAGACAACCGTTGGGGTTGGGTCTTATGAACTACGAAGGGAAGGAGTGCACCTTCCTCCCTCCACTCCCCAGCTGCTTCTGATTGTGTCTCAGGAACGGAACAGGGCAGGCACAGTGCAGGAGGCCACAGCAAAAGAGGGAAGTGGCAGAAGTCCATTTGCAGAAGAGCTCACGTAGGAGGGGAGAGGGTGACGGCTGCCAGTTTCCCCTGAGAGCAATGCTCCCTCTAAGCTGTGGAGTCTTGTGAGCAAACATTCTACTTTGTGAGCTCCTGGCATTAAAGCTGTGAGCGAGCGATTTGGCCGCCGCATAGATGAGTTTGCTCTGGAGCCCTCCTTCCCGAGCGAAGATGAAAAGGTGTGAGCTGGAGGCTAAAAAACGGTGAGCTAGCTAACACTCACTCAGCTTAGAGGGAACACTGCCTGAGAGTCTCTTGAGCCTCAAGAACAGCTTTTCAGGGAGCACCCAGGATGGGAAAGGGGGGAGGGGGAGACGCCTGTTCCAAGAACTCATTTGGTTCATGGGTTGGAGGATCTGTTGTTGTTTTTTTGTAATTTTCATGGGTTGGAGGATCTGTTGTTGTTTGTAATCTACTGCTGGTGTCGAGTCATAGCTGACTTTTGGCAAACCCCCGTAGGGTTTTTCAAGGCAAGAGAGGAGCAGCGGCGGTTTGCCATGGCCCGCCTCTGTGTTAAGGCTGCAGACCTCCATGTTGGGGCTGGAGTTCTCCTGGGATAGCAACTGATCTCCAGTCTACAGCGATCAGTTCTCCTGCAGAAAATGGCAGTTTCAAAGGGGTGGACTCTGACACCACATCCCTGATGAGCTCCTCCCCCCCCACCCAAATTCACCCTCCCCAGGCTCAGACCCCAATCTCCAGGAATTCTTCTACCCAGAGTTGGCAACCCTACTCTGCACAGTGATCCTGCACTTCCCTGGCGGTCTTCCATCCAAATGCTAACCAGAGCTCAGCTGACCAGTGTTCCCTCTAAGCTGAGTTAGTGTGAGCTAGCTCACAGTTTTCTAGCCTCCGGCTCACACATTTTTGTCTTAGCTCAGGAAGAACAGCTCCAGAGCAAACTAATTTATACGGTTGCCAAATCGCTCGCTCACAGTTTTAATGCCAGCAGCTCACAAAGTAGAATTTTTGCTCACAAGACTCCACAGCTTAGAGGGAACATTGGAGCAGCTGACCCTGCTTAGCTTCTGAGATCTGACAAGATCGAGCTACCCTGGGCCATTTAAGTCAGGGCTTAGGTATACCAGGTGTTACTTTTATTTGCTGTGTCTTAAAAAAAATGGGAGCATAAATGGTGTGTCATGAAAAGTCGTGACTCTGTCTTGTCCCTCCACAGATTACGGCTCAGGAGCTCTCCCAGGACTGTTTCTGGGTCAAGGCCAAGGAGGACCGGTTTGAGAACGATGAACTCTTTGCCAAGTTGACCCTCACCTTCTCGGCCGCACAGAGCAAATGTAAGCGCTACACTTGGGAGCGGGGTGGGGTGGGGGAAGCTGCCTTCTGGAGTCATCCCATGGGAGCAGTTTGTCCTGACACCCACAGGGGCGATGTCAGAAGTCACTGTTATGCAGCCAGCAGGTTTCTCGCATGTTTTCTTGGTGAACAGCCAGAATTTTTGAAGGAGGCACCTGTGTCCATCAATTTGTGGTAAACACTTGCCGGGGGAGCCAGAACCCCCTCGCTGCTTCCTCAAGTGGGTTTTGGAGTGTTTGAGACACAGCTTCCCTTCAAACTTTAGTGTTTTATTGGGAGACGTGTCTAAGACTTGCCTTGGGGATGAGACCAGAGGTCCAGCTAGTTAAGCTTTTTTGCTCGATCAGGAGCTATCCAAAAACATCTCGAAAACTTTCAGGTTAGGGTACAGTGGAGACATCTGTCCCATTTACACCTGAACCTCTGCCGCTTCTGAACATGGAGGTTTCAGGTTTTGCTCTCGTGGCAAACAGCCGTTGATGGTCCTCTTTCCCACAAACCTTTTCTAATCTGATTTTGAAAGCATGGCAAGGAGCATGTCATAATTCACGTTAAATGCGTCATTTAGCTGTGCATTGTGTGGAGGCATTTTGGAGGTCTCGAAACCTACAGTCAAGTCAGCGGTGCTGGACAGCCCCAAGCTTTAGACTTGTGAGAGGAATGGAGGGCGAGCAAATTCTCTCTTGACTCTCCTTCCTCGGCTGGCCATAAGCCTCAAGTGCCCCTCCCTTCAGTTGCCTTTTATTCCTGAGCTAAAATGTTGCTGCGGTGGCTCAAGTGGTTAAGATGCTGAGCTGCAGGCTGTGGAAGGTCAGTAGTTCAGCAGTTCGAGACCCGAGTGTGCCGCATGACGGAGTGAGCTCCCATCTCTAGTTCCAGCTCCTGCCAACCTAGCAGTTCGAAAGCAAGACATTGCAAGTAGATAAATAGGTACCACTTCGGTGGGAAGCTAACAGCGTTCCGTGCGCCTTGGTGTTTAGTCGTGCCGGCCACATGACCACGGAAACGTCTTCGGACAGCGCTGGCTCTTCGGCTTTGAAACGGAGATGAGCACCGCAACCCTAGAGTCTGACTCTACTGTCTTTTGAGCAGGGGAACCTTTACCTTTTTTTTTAATGTTGCAAGCGTACCTTTTCTCCTCAGGAAGATGCTCCCGTTATCCTTGTGTTTTCTTACGCTTTCTCCAGTTCTGCGGTACCCTTTTAAAGATTGTCATCAGAATGCCATGTAGCGGTGAAGTGTTTGGCACGCCATGAATGATTCTTACTGCACTTTATTTCCCATCTTTTTTTTCCTGTTAATCCCTGCAGTCTGAATTGACTCTAGGACTGGACTGCTTTGTAATGGAGAGGGGGTGGTGGGGAACAGAGTCTTCCATTCCATTTGGCAATGCACTACTCTTTTGGAATCCCTTTCTGGGATCCTTTGCCACCTGTGAGACTAGAAAGCACGCTGGAGGTGGGGAATGATAGGTAGATGGGACTTTGTTCCTGCAATGTATGATGTAGGATACTCATTCCAGTGTGTTTTCCCCCCCCTTCTTCATCACTTCACTGGTGATCAAACTGGATGCCCCCAATGGCGGTCGATTGCAGCTAAAGGTGAGTACTTTGATTATTTGACAGCTTCTTTATTCTGTATTGTATTGCCATTCATAATTGTAGCAGATGGTGGGACTCCTAACCTGTGTTCATTAAAGCTACAGTCCTCAGTAGTGCTGTGCCATAAGAACATAAGAGACGCCAATGTTGGACAGTTCTCATAACTTGTGTTGGGCACACAGCATGCTTCCTATTCCCGTTTACCATTTTTTGTTCTTGCAGATTTTGAGTGCTGGACTTGGGGTTAAGCTACCTGGGACTTCTGAGTGTCATTTGAGTGTGCAGAGGCAGGGAAGGGCCAGTAAAGGGACAATGGCGGAGGCCAGTCAAAAGTGCTAGCAGCCCTTCTTGCCCCTACAGCACATGTGGATGGGTTTTCTTGACAGGAGTCCTTAACTTGCTGCCCGGGTCTGTCCCGTGCCATTGTTTAGGCCCAGTCCTCGCAGACCTGAATCTGGGCTCACATGGTTGAGTCTCTTTTGTACAAAAATATTTATGGACAGAAAATGAAGTGGAGATTTCCTTGCGAGTGTTCTTTCTGTTCAGAGGCAAGGAGGATGCTGTAATGAGAGAGGTTCCTCCCAGTGAGCTCTGGAGACAGGACTAAGCTGCAGCTTCCTGTCTCCTCCAGTACAGGGGGAAAGCCCTCGTAGCTGGTAACATGTGGATCCTGGGAGGATCGTGATTTAAGCTGTAAACAGTGAACAATGTGGTGTCAATCAGAAGCAGAGAGAACCTCTAAACAATTAAGGTAACATAAGAATCAGATCAGATTTTTAAAATGAGGAAGTGGAGGAAATCCCTTGGACTCAAGTATGCCAGACTGTTATCCCGAGGAGACGGATCTCTCTTCTTGCCAAGGAACAGCAGGCTTAATCAAGACGAGAGGGGGACAGGATGTTCTCCACTCCAAAGAGAACGAGTGCTAGAAGGAAGCTCAGCGTCTGTCCCTCCCCCCCCTCCCCGAAGGAGGAGGACCTGCTGGTTACACCTGGTCCCCCCCACCAAGGGTCAAGATCATAGGATCTGCAGAAGAGCCCATTCCATAGTGATGCACAAACGGGGAGGCTATTCTCGACAGTGAAAACATATTGATTGTGCATTAAAGAAAGCCTTTGATGACTGAAAAGTGCATTACTTGGTCAAGATCCACATCCATAATATGACGCTTGAAGTATCATAGATCTAATTCTGAACTTGGTTTCAGGGTGCAGATCAAAAAATGTACTCTGGGTGGCCAGGTATGGGGAGGGTGTTGTTCCTCCAGATGTGCAGAAACAATCATTCTTAAACTTTAACGAATAGGTATGAGGGGAGGCTCAAGTGGTTAAGATGCTGAACTGCAGGCTGTGGAAGTTCAGTAGTTCAGCAGTTCGAGACCCAGGGTGCCGCATGACGGAGTGAGCTCCCGTCTCTAGTTCCAGCTCCTGCCAACCTAGCAGTTCGAAAGCAAGAAATTGCAAGTAGATAAATAGGTACTGCTTTGGTGGGAAGGTAACAGCGTTCCATGCGCCTTGGTGTTTAGTCATGCCGGCCACATGACCACAGAAACGTCTTCGGACAGCGCTGGCTCTTCGGCTTTGAAATGGAGATGAGCACCGCAACCCTAGAGTCGGATTCGACTGGCTTTCGAGCAAGGGAACCTTTACCTTTATGAGGGGAGGTTAAAAAACCTCTCAGCATTGTAGACGTAATGTCTACAAAGATGAGCACCGCAACCCTAGAGTCGGACTTGACTGGCTTTCGAGCAAGGGGAACCTTTACCTTTAAGCAAGGGAACCTTTACCTTTATGAGGGGAGGTTAAAAAACCTCTCAGCATTGTAGACGTAATGTCTACAAAGATGAGTACCGCAACCCTAGAGTCGGACTTGACTGGCTTTCGAGCAAGGGGAACCTTTACCTTTACCTTTTAACTCTTCCTGTTATTCCGTGCTGAATTCCCATTTCTCTACTTTCTGCTCAGCACCTGCGGGTCATGTGATTCTCAGGGATTTCCGCATGGGCTCTAGAAAGTCTGCCATTCTCCACTTTACCATTGTCTGCAAAGAGTCCAGTACTGGGAATGCAGCAACATTGGAACAGACCCAGATAGGAGGAGGAGGAGGAGGGGTCATGGGTCTGTGGCAGAGCATCTCCTGGCCGCGCAGAACCCGGCATCTCCACTTAAAAGAACCAGTTCAGAGGTGATGGGAAAGACATCTGCCTTGAGACCCTGGAGAGCCGCTGCCAGTCTGAGTAGACGATACAGATCTTGATGGACCAGCAGTCAGCTTCAGTGTAAGGAAGCTTCCTTTGTTCATGTGAAGTATGTAAAATCAGTGGGCACTAGAAGAGCTTCACGTCATTTAACCCCCTGTCCCAACTGCTTCTCCTGCCAACCTAGCAGTTCAAAAGCAAGAAATTGCAAGTAGATAAATAGGTACCACTTCGGTGGGAAGGTAACAGCATTCCATGCGCCTTGGTGTTTAGTCATGCTGGCCACATGACCACGGAAACGTCTTCGGACAGCGCTGGCTCTTCGGCTTTGAAACGGAGATGAGCACCGCAACCCTAGAGTCGGACTCAACTGGCTTTCGAGCAAGGGAACCTTCACCTTTACCCAACTGCTTGCCTGTTTTCTGCTTGAAACACCACCCCTATATATACTCAAACCTATGGCTTTAGGCCAAAGGTGGCTTAGTAAATAACCCAATAGGGCTCTTTGGTGGTAGAGCACCTGCTTGGCATGCAGAAGATCCCAGATTCCGTCCCCGGCATCTCCAGTTACAAATAGATCCCCTTCCATGAGATTCCAGAGAGCCACTGCCAGTTTGAGCAAACAATACAGACCAACCTTGATGTATTAATGATGTATTAATGATACAAAGGCTCCAGAAGATAAATCATTGTGATTTTAGCAGTAGTTTAAAGGTTTGGCATGTGGGTAGTCTGTTTCTAGATCCAGAAGAAAAGAACCAGATCCTCTCAAGTGTGTGGTTTGGCTGCCACCTTCTGGCAGAAAAAAGAAAGTCACACAGACTCTGTAAAATTTTCACTGGTGGTGAAGCAGATCAGTTTTTTTTAATGTTTTGAAATTAGAATGGTTCCTCAGTGGAACAGGCTTCCTCGGGAGGCGGTGGGCTCTCCTTCTTCGGAGGTTTTCAGAGGCTAGATGGCCATCTGACAGCAATGCTGATTCTGTGAACTTAGGCAGATTGTGAGAGGGAGGGCAGGAAGGGCTGCATCAGTGCTTAGTTCTCGTGGCCCTTTCTTACACACCCAGGGAAATGCTGATCGCCACTTTGGGGTCAGGAAGCAATTGTTCTCCAGGCCAGTTTGGCTGGAAATCCTGGAGGTTTTTTGTCATCTTCTGGGCATGGAACAGTGGTCACTGTGTGTGTGTGTGTGTGTGTGTATTAATTTCCTGCATTGTGCAGGGGGTTGGACTAGATGACACTGGAGGTCCCTTCCAACTCTATGATTCTACGCCCCCCCATCTCCCCTCTGCTTTTTGCCCCAATCAGCATGTAGTTTTTTCCACAGTGAATGTGCGCAAATCCCCATGCACATTTGTGGCTGCTGTGGCTTGTGGGAGGAGGGCATCTCTGTGTCTCCTTAAATGGGGAAGAAGTTCCACTCTAGCGTCAGGATCCTGTTCCTGCCTGGAACTTCCAGTTTGGTGTAGTGGTTAAGTGCGCGGACTCTGATCTGGGAGAACTGGGTTTGATTCCCCACTCCTCCACTTGCACCTGGCTGGATGACCTTGGGCAAGCCATAACTCTGGCACAGCTGTTCTTGAAAAAGAGCCATTTCTGTCAGAGCTCTCTCAGACCCACCTACCTCACAGGGTGTCTGTTGTGGGGAGGGGGAGGGGGAGGAGTTTGTAAGCCGCTCTGAGACACCTTTAGGTAGTGAAGGGCGGGGTATAAATCCAATCTCCTCCTCCTCCTCCTCCTCCTCCTCTTCTTCTTCTTCCTTTCTGCCCTCTCCCTCTTCATCCTAACCTTTCCTGCCCCAAAGAATGACACCCATTCACTGCTCCGTAGAATGACCAAGTCATACACTGCTCTTTGGTTTGTATATATTTATATCTTGTGTTCATATCTTGTGTTTTCCCCCAAGGGGGACCCAAAGCAGCTTAGTGCTCCCCCGTTCTCGTTTAGCCTTACAACAACAGCCTTGTGAGGTAGGTTAAACGGAGAGTTTGTGTGACTGGCCCAGAGTCACCCCTTAAGCTTCCATGGCACCGTGGGGATTCAAACAACTACAAATAGGGAAGAGGTCCTCCGACCAAGGAAAGAAAAGAAACAGATAAGTCCCTCTAAACAGAAGGCAAGCAAAAACAATATGAATAATTATATAGATGAAATACACACACACACATTCATAAAAATTGTGTATTGAGATAAATGGCACAGCGATGGGTGTGTACATAACAAAAGCATCCAATACGATTACAAAATAAATCACTGAATTAACTCCTGGTGTAAATAATGCAAAAGGAAAAGATAAATATCAACATTTGTGTATGGAACCAGGATGTAACAAAAGGAGCACGAATATCAACATTGGTACAAAAAAAAAAGCCCTTTAGCATTGTAATTTTTTATAAGAATGCTGACAAACCTAATTTATTGTTAAGTCCTTGAGGAGATAACATATGGAGAGTATAAATCCAATATGCCTCGCATCCTAGAGTCTGCTCTATAGCTGTGGATTTGAGGGATATCCTCTAAGGCAATTTTTTTTTGACTGAAATAGCATGTAAACTACATTGAAAACATTGAGCTAAAGAGGCCTCAAGGATACCTCTATGAATTTTGCTTTTACGTTCTAAAATCCTGGTGCTTAAAGGTCTGACAGTTCGGCCAACTCGTGAGGACACGTGACAATATAAACAACCTGCTACAAATTGCAGATTGTAAACTGTTTCAAATGATATATTTTCTGATCTATCAGACTGATAAAAACTTTTATACTTACGGTAACTAGGAAAAAGGCCCGTTATACTTAACTAGAA